ACCCAAATTACATTTTATATCATTTCATTACCTTTGTATTTCTTCTGTCTGTACAGTAGAGTCTGCAGCTTTGCTTGGTACAACTGGTCTGGATTCATTACTAAAAAGCTTCTTTTTCAGCTCAGAAATCTAAACCATATCATGGTAAAAGTTACATTCAAGCTATGGGCAAACAAGGTTTTCACAGTACTATATTTTCATTCATTTCTATCTTTGCCACATATAAAGAAAGTACTGCCAATTTTCACCTAAGAGTGCAATATGGCACAAGATGCCATTTACATGTACATGCTCAATATCTGCAACCAAAAAGTAATAAACTGTTACAATAATTGTAACTGCACATTGAAGGCGTAAAATCGTGGCCCCCTCAAATATAAGACTTAATTGATCACCCCTGGATTTTTGGAACTTTTTGTCATTGCATTGTTTTCGTCTAGGTAATATCTCGCAACAATCAATGTTCTGAGAGCAAGAATTTAAGCTATAGTTTTAATTCGTGGTATACACTATATATATGAGGCAAGCAAAACATTTCAAGGTATTTCTATTTTTTGCTTTAGACACTTCTCTGTCTTTTCAATGACCAGTACCCCCCCCTCATCTGTTGGTATCATTTGTGGACCACTTTCATAAATGGCTGCCAGATTAATATTCTTTTGTTTAAATTTAAATTAGCCATTCTGGCCTCGTTCTCCAGTTCAAAATTCAAAAGAATACATTATCTCAAGCGAGGCCAGAAAGGCTAATTTAAATTTAAACAAAAGAGTATTAATCTGGCAGCCATTTATGAAAGTGGTCAGTAGCATACCCCAGAATATATACCTTTCAATTGATATAATATTACATGTTGTCTAATGGTTCATGGTTCTCATATTTGAAAAAAATTGGCATTTCCCTCTGGCAGTAAAGCATGAAGTGAGACTAATGCATTACCTCAAGTCGTAGCTCCTCTACAATCTTTGCATATCGACTAACATGCATCTCCACTGACACTTCATTTTTCACCACCTTGCATGTGATGTTCATGGCACGATCTGCATACTTTAAAGTATTATATGTATCTTCATAGCTTAGACCTGATGGACTGTATGAAACAATAAAAATGTTCTCTAATTAAAATTTAAAATTTTATTATTAAATTTCTTCAACAAATAACATAATTATTATTTATATTTTTAAATCCACTTTTTGTTTTTAAAGCAACATTTTATTTTTGTTCAAAATAATTAGAATGTTTTAAATAATTAATTATCAAGTATTAATAATAATTATGTGTTGTCAGCAACTCATTACTAACAGTAACAAGAATATTAATAAAATATTTATTGTTTTGCCCAGAAAAACAAAATTGAAGAATAAAATCTGCAGTATCATAGATTACTTAGCCAAGCAATAAGACTACACTATCACATGTTTCTCTTAGAATGGAGTGCTCCGAAGGACTTTAGTGTTATACCTCAGACTTCATGCATTTTGTTTGAAAGCTGAGGCATAATCACCAAGTTCTTTAGGTAAACGGTCATTTGTGTGTGGAAAATTTTAATGCACATTGAGAGCAGAAATAAATTAATTAATTTCCTCGCTATATAGCTCACACCAGACCATTATCTGACAAATTATACTGGTGATCAATCTGGGTAAAAATAGTTTGTGATGATAATAATTCAACTATTTCAATGTTGTTATGATTATAAGTTAAAGTATAATGATGTTTTATTCTTTCATTGTGCACAAGTGACATTATAAATTTTTCATATTAAGTGAAAAGAAAAAGAGCATCAGATGATCAGGCTCTCAACTTTTGGAGACATTAAAAAGACCAAATGAAGAGTCAGTGAAAAAGGATGGCGGTGAGGGAAGGAAAAACAGTATTTTGTTTCTACAACAGCCAGGCTTTTTAACTTGTCACTGACCAAGAATTTGGAAGGGATAAATTTTAACTGTAATATAATATGATTACACTCGTCTACCTGACTGCTGCTATCATAACGGTTCTGCAGTTTCCTCCAAGGGAATCTTTTAGAAGTCTTGTCAGTTTGCTGTCTCTGTATGGAATGTGCCCGGATTTGTTCTACAGAATCACAAGTGATTTCAAGGGTTAACTCTTTCAGGGGTTTCATTAATGTTTTCAGTAGGAGGGCAACTGTGGCATGTGTTTCACAAGTGGGCAAAACTTTTTGAACTGAGCTTCTTTATAAGATAAACTTTCCTCCAGATGGTCAAACCAGGTGGGCAAAACCATCCTCACAAGCAGTCAATTTTCTGAGTGCCCCACCCTTAATGAAACCCCTGCTTTAACTCCCAGTAGTGATTAACATTTAACTTCTCCCTATAATAATCATACATTGTCCAGCAAACAGATAACAAGAATACTCAAACTTATCACAGTTAGATTAGTTATCTCGATCTTGATCCAACACAAAATTCTTCCAACCAATTTACAAGGTAATGTGTAGCAGGTTTTGGGGAGAATTAACAATCAGATCTTGGGGGTTAAAAGGGTTAATAGGGAGGGACTCAGGGCTTAGTTCATCTGGGGAGATGAGCACAGTTGTTTGATAATTAGCAGATGAAAGAAAAAATTATTTATAGTTACTCTTTTAAAAAACTTCAATTTGTACTCCAAGTAAGATAATGATTGCTCTTCATATTATTTAATTATTAAGTAATTATAATTCCAGTGATTGATGATTGCTTGCTATCCATAAATCTCTCCTCTTGCTATTTTACAATAGATTCAAGATATAAGATCACCAGAGAAAGATATCCATGGATTTCATCATCTCCAAGTGAATATACATGCTCAAACATTGGATCATTGTTAGTATCTGCATAACTGCACACCCACCCTCCCCTAACCCAATGTTAACCGTAGGGGAGGGGTGGTTGCACAGTTGGTCAGATATGGACATTCCTTTTGTGTTAAGAAAAATGCCTTTGATTACCATAAATAAAAGACATTGAGAGTGGAAATTCACAGGAAAAAGTTTTTGACCACTTTGTAGTGCCAATTCTGAGCCTGTTCTTATCTGCTCATTAACGCAAACAGGGTAATTCTAGTTACCTCTTTATCAGCAAGTGCATTAATGCAGTTGCCAAGAGCAAGCAAGGATTTGTTGATGTTTGCCCCCTCACGGAATCGTTCACCTCTGTTGGATGTCACTATTGCTCTCTCTGACCCAGCCAGGTCAATCAAGGACATCTTTCCCATGGTAAAGTTTGCTTGCAATCCTGCAGTTCGGTCCTTTTGTCGAACAAACACCTGACAAATGTGATGATATGAAAAAAATGTTTTCAAATACATTGTGAGAATATGTGTGCATGAATACTTCCAGATACAAGTGATTCCTGTATCTTTGACTAAAATTAAATCATTATCATGCCTAAAGTATAAAAAAACTCTCAGCCTGGTGACTAAACTCTACGAAAAGCTATCAATTTAGCAGCCTTTATTTGAGGGTCATGGAGCATGCTATAACATCTTACTGATCATTCAGTGCTTATGTTTCAAACCTTTAAACCCCAGGAGTGACCCATATTTAATTCCTCCTTATAGTAATATTGCCAAGTTATTCATTAAAATAATGAGAATGAGAATAAAGAAAATGGTCACCAACCTAAGAAGCTTCGATTGTTGAACAAATTCTCCTTGTCAGTGCCAAAGGAAATGTATAGAGAACAGTATGGAGAATATGCAAACTGATGTTAGGGTGTAAGGGTTAAGTGAGAGGAAATTAAACATTTTTTTGGAAAAATATGTTAATTTGCTCAAAATGTCCTTTTTCCACTTTTACCATGCAAATAAAATTTGAATCTTTTGGAACCATTTATGGCAATAATTATTTTAGGTTGCAAATTGGCAACTTTGAAAAAAAGCAGTGTGTTAACTTTTAATTAATAACTCTGAATTAGATTTCTTTATCACCTGAAAAACAGCATGAGATCTTGAAGATTGTGCATTTGCATCTGTGGGATGTTGGGTGCGGTTGTTGTTTCCAAACTCCAGCATTCCCAGCAGCTCTTCAGCAGAAGTTGGCTTAAAAGGCAAGGAACATTGATTTTTAATGAATTTTTGAAACACGGGAGAAAGGTATAAAAGTATGTCAGGGCTCAACACTAACAGTAGCCCACTAGCCACAGACTAGAAGAAATTCAGTTTTGGCAAGTGGTTTTCAATTTCCAGCCAGTTTGGCCAGTGAACAAACTGAAATTGTCATAACATCTAAGAAGTCACTAGCCACTTGGCTAGCAAGTTGAAAAGTTAGTGGGGAGCGCTGTATGCGACTTGTTCCTGCAGCCAATTTGCTCAGAACTAGTCCATTTGTGCACACTATGTTAAAATTAAAAGGGGTTTAGCGTCAAGGCTAAAAATTCTTGGCTCCCAACTTATTCCAAAATCCTAAGGCTATGCTCTAGAAAGAATTGGCTAATGCATGGAGGGTCTCACTAGTCATCCAAAGTCCTTAAAAAGAAAAAGTTGAGAATGTGTTGCACCTGGCCTGTGTTTCATTATCAGTAAAAGATCAAATCTTGGAGACCCATCACATGAATTTATAGTTAGCCCTTGGTCTGAAATATCTGAAGGACTAGTCCCTTGGGCTTGTTGCTTATGTGCAGACCAATCTTAATGATCACAACAAAGGAGACAGGCTAATATGCTTTTTAACAACACTGGGGAGAAATTGGTGATGATTGCACTTTTTTCATTATGAAATATAATACAAAAAAGGCAATTTACCTTGTGAAGTGTAAGGCCACTGACACACACCCCCCTTTGCGGATCTTCTCTCACAGCCAGAGGCTTTCCAGGCATTAAAAGGTCTCTGATTGTTTCATTGTAAACCTACAGTGATAATAGTCAAACTGATTGTTGAGTCCTATGTGTATCTGTCCTTCCTGCCAGTGATACCCACCTCTGAATCTCAAAAATGACCAGTGGACAGCACACGTATGGCCAAACCA